CTGTCAGAATTTTTTAACAGTGTTTAATAAAAATCACATCCTCAAATCTCGGAATGAGTGGGTGACAGTTCCTATTGGAATTTGTACATTGGACGTGAGTTTCAACTTTATTCGCACCGAAAAGCTATCGAAGTTCGTGGAAAATGAGCTACATTCCCCTCCTGTCATACAAGCAAAGTAGTTGCCAGTTTTACGCCTTTCTATTCCTCATACGCGTTTGAGTTAACGCTGCAATAAAGCGACCAGGGTTCAAAAATTCTCATAAAATACTCATCATCAACATAATCATCTTAAATTTGAGTTATCATATTCAACCTCTCCAAATTATTTTTTAACGCTTGAAATTATTTGTTTGTTTTTTTATGATTCTATTTTCTATTTGAGACAATCGAAAGATAAAAATCTGCTGCAAAGCAATATAAAGCGATATCTGCTGCGACATAATTATTGTGCATACATTTAGTTTAAATGTAATATGCGATCTTGAGAAACTCCGCAGCTCAAATCAAACAAATACCTGTACTTGGATCGCATTTACCAATTACCAGGAAAGGGCTTTAACGCGATTTTAGTATTCTAAAAATCATGCACCTTCATTTATATCTAAAAAAATAATTGCTTAGAATAGCAGATAGTTTTTATTTGTTTTACTTTAACCGTCCTTACTTTTAAAGGATAATGAATGGGTGAATTGTATTTCTGCATCCACATATATTCAGTATTTTTGAGAGCAAAGCAGGAGTAGTGCAATTTTTGAGATACTGCAATCACATCGGTTCCCTTCCTCTAACTGCGAACCATTTATATCCTTGTACCATTCAGTATACCAATACAAAAGGAGTTAATCAAATACTGGTCCGTCTAAATATACTTACCGATACGAGCTTCACGTTTCATACGATACAACAGCAGCCGAGAAGTTAGTTGGTGTAAAATTTTCCAAATATTCCATTGTGCAAGTATAGCGTTCCTTTTTTGAATCCGGCCGGGCGCTGTGAGTTCACTGTCACCATAAGCATGACAGCTTATGATAATATTATGCGCATATAGAAATTGCCGAATTCTATACCTACCAATCAATACATCCTTAAATTCTCGCTGAGGTGATCCTCATCAAACGGGCGGTCGTAGACAAACTGTCGCTCCTTTGAAAAAATGGCGTATCACGATTTCCGTATGAACTCCAGAAAGCATGGGCTTATATTTGAAACAGGGGTCACTTGGAGATTGAGATACGACCTTACGTCAGAGAGGCGACGAAACGTCTCTTCCATACAATTGCCGATTCCGGGATAGGGTCCAGTTTTCACCGCGTTTGAGAATCCACTCCTGCGTTTTTATGTAACCTTAAATTCTAGACGATTGAATAAGAGTCGAGAGAACTTGGGATTGTTACCGGATAGCCAAAAACTTGTTAAGTGCGGGAACAGCTTTTGATGCTCGCTCACTTAAGACGCCCGACCTCTGAACTATTAGGATAAATGGGTATTCAGGCGTATCACTGCATTTTCCGCCTTTTGGTGTCGTTTCAACATTACCTTGAGCTTGTAACTTGCGGTATTTGTGAAGAATTTTGTTTTGAAGTAGTTGAATGGCACAAGCATGAAATACACCGCGCTACGAAACTTCAAAAGACAAAATCAAAACTTTGAATTATTATGTTAAGGTATAAAAATGAAGGAGAAACATACTGGTTACATCAAGGAAAGAAATATATTGGATTCATGTTTTGAGAACCTCAACTTTGAAAAATATATTTTAAATTTCGTAGCGGCATTTATTAAAAATACTTAATCAGATATTAGATATTGTTAACTCAATGGGATATTTCAGCAGTAAACCCCTCGAAAGTGAAGTTTCTATACAAAACGGGTTTCACTCGACTTTACTTTTTTGGAGGAGAACTTGTGTAGAAACTTTTATATTAAAATTAGAGACTGTTAGACTGTTGCCATTTTGTACTATTCTTGAGAATAATTCCAATCTGCAGAAAACAGATTAAACAAATAAAGAAATGGTAAAGGTAAAGTAATTACTCGATGAAATTACGCCCGTCATAGGGGCTGTCCATAAATTAGGTAAGCTCCATCGGGGGGTGGGTCTTCTTCGCGCCTGTGCGTGTTCATGTAAGTGTAACATTTCAATATGTATGATACCACTAATTGACCACGCGAGAGCCCCTGTTGCCTACACTCAACGCTGAAGGCGAACTGACATGACGTTATAGTCAGGACGTTGAGGGCGGGCGCAGACCATTGTTGCGGGTGCGTCAAAGGGACGGAGGAGTGAAAAATTTCGATTTACAGCTTTACGCATTTTTTTTTTATGGCAGATCTTCCAGGGAAAAATCCGTTCACACCCCTTTGGCAGTCTTTTCACATCTATATTTTCATTTTCTGTTTTTTATATTTAATTGTTTTTTTTTGACACTTCCAAATCCTTTATTCATCAAAATTTTTCAACTTGGAATCGGGAGCCATATTTTGATGAAAGCCACATCCGACTTTATGCGTATTTACCGATGAGATGATGACATGGCGTCGCACCTTTAAATATACATATCTACCAACCTACCAACCAACCAACCAACCAACCAACCAACCAACCAACCGTCTGATGATTTCATCATTCCTATTTTTACAGAACCACTTCCTCCTACAATTTCCGAACAAGGAATACGAATATTTTGCCTGATAGTTCCATCCACAGCCTCCTCCTCTCTTACTGCCACCTCTTGGTAAGCCTTTTATTATAGAGATTTTGCAAGGTTACCAAAAAAATAAAAAGTGAAAAGAAATTAGCCCAAGTATAGATCCGTTTGTTCATTATTTTTTCTTTATTTTCATTTTTCAAAACTCGTATTACAAACGTATACATCTATAAAACGTAAGTACAAAAGTTTCACTCACTTGTAAATAAAAACTTGTTTAATATCATTTTATTGAAAATTTAATTTGAATGACGCACATCTTAAATCATCAAAAATAAGTGAAATACGGTTGCGGTAGACATCATGTTTTTTCTTCTCCTTTTTCTCATCATCTCTCAACTTTGTTAAGCATATTGATTTCCTTAAAAGCTTTTTGGTTTTAAGAGGCACTGTACCGTACTTCAATGGACATTATATTATTCTTCATCGAGTTTAAAGATTTTAAGGGTCTCAAAAGTGGAGATCCAAACGCAAAAGAGGTCAAAATATTAAGTAGAATTTCAAAATTATTAATTATCCATCGATGAACTGTCTGAAAATAATATAACACATGTGACGTCCTCGGAACGTAAACAAGCAGGAAGCTCCAACGCATTCGCGTCGGAAAGCGGCTCTGGCGACGGTAGGTAGTTGTTACGCGTTTACGGTTACCTTGGTAACCTTTGTTTGCTGTCAGCTGATGTCGAGTAGTATGATTAGGAAGCTCCAACCACGGCATTCTTCGAAAAAAGCGCGAAAACTTATAGATTTGAATTTTCAAATTTTAAACGTAAAGTACATTTTTCCAGTGCGAAATTAAAGCACAGACCCGTTTTGAATTTTTGACAGTATCACCATGATTCCAAAAATACACTACACAACATAGCATTCGCTCACAGGAAAAAGATATCAATTAAAATAAAATCAGTCCCCCCTAAACAGCAGAAAATGGCGCCGATTCCCATCAACCAACACGCGGTCTCTCCAATGTAACATGGTCCGTTGATACTCCCCAGCTGGGACCGTCCGGAATAACAGCTCTAGTGCAAGCACCAGAGCCGCTAATGTCATGTAAAGTTTATTGTGAATCTAAAGACGTAGAATTGTACCACAACATTGAAAGATCTTTAAATTTTTTTTTCTCACTCACAAAACACGCACTTACCCTGCCAAGGTTTTTTGACTCGAAAAATTCAAATTTGGGTTAACAATTTTTAATTTCGAGACTCAAAGAAGCGAATTCGATATTCTTTGATACCATGCTCACAAATAAATTTTCATGACCGTTGCATCCAGGAATCGTCGGGTCCCAAAAACTTGCCTGAATGATAGTTAAACGTACCTACTTACAGGAATCAGGCAGTATAGATTTACAAAAGTGTTTCAAATCAATGTCTAGGTATATAAAAAATTGAATTTTCTTGCATAGTGGACTCACGCTAATTTGGAGCTGATATGACCACGAAGTTTTTTTCTCATTAAATATATCTCAAATTGGGGAGAGACCGTAAAGGGTGCCATTAAAAACAGTTGAAATACAGAAGTTTTCAAATAAGCCCTATGATGTGAAGAAGGCTGCTGCCAATTGCTCTTTAATTCTACATCATACGCCTATTTTTAATGAATATTAAGGATTAAAAAGGTATCATCCTGAAAAACATTGAACAGGGACCCGTCCTTCATCAGAATGGAGTTTTTATTGGAAAAAGTGTACACAAAACCTTACAAAAAACACGTACTGCATACAGATAATGCGGCTTTCATGGACTAATGCGAGAATGTAAACAAAAGTTCAATCATTAGTTTTGCTAATCCTCCTAATCTGTATCAAACCGAAGCTACCGAAAAAATTTCGAATCGCAGAGCGTCCGGTCCCGCCAGTTTGAAATATCGAGCAGACTCTACAATTTTGAATCACACAGCGTTATGGTTGCACCACTCTATACAAAAGCTGTCCCAAAACAACTGTTCATCGCACTCGTTCTTGGAAATCAAAAGAGATATCGACATGCGGTTTATGAGAGGCTGATTTATCTGGTGATCGAGATGATAATAATTTTGAATTAAGGGAGGAACAAGTAGTCCGCATTTAGCAGAAAGGAACCAAGTCACATCAGCTAATACTAAATTTAATTGCGAGTAATTTAATTTTTTTGTACAAGAGAACGTTTGTGCAGACTTTTTTAAAAAATTTGAGGAATTTGCTTTGTACTACTTTGAAAATTCACTGAAATTGGCAAAAAAATCCCCACAACCGTTTTCATGTGAAAAATTTAATTGTCCGATGAACTTTGGCAATAGCTGGTGTGGCTTGGTTCCTTTATGCTTAACGCGGTCCCAGTATATGTCTATTTTTCAAAATGACTTGTAAGACCAGCGGAGTCATCAAAGTGAACCAAAAAAAAACAAGTGATGCACACCACTGCGAATGTTTGGGAAAATCCAGACATTTTAATTCGATAACCCGCTTTTCTATTGTTATTTTAAGGGACTGTTCAAAATCTAAATAATTATGCGCTGAGACAGGTAATAAAGCGCCTAATTTTCCATAGGATCTTCGCTCAAGATGAGACCGCCCACTTAAGGCCTGACTTGATGAGTGGCAGTGCAAAATGAGGAGCTTTTGCATACTTAATAAATACATGCATTCATTCGTTCATTCAATTCACGCATGCTGATTTCATTGAAGGTAACCGCCTTTTACCAGGGCTCGACAAAAAACTCAAGCGAGCATTTTCCGTGCACTGAAAACTCGTCTCAGGGAGGGCACTGCGGTGGGTATGACGAGTGGGAACCCCAGTGGGTCGATTGTTGGATGGATATAGAATGACCTTGATCGATAAATAGCATTGCTAAGATACGGATTTATCGATTAGGATCATTCAACACGGATTTAACAATCGACCCACAGGTGAAAGAAATATTATTCGTTTCATTAAGGACATCTTCAAAATCTCCATTCTCATCTACAAGGGTGCGTCCTGTTTTCCATACTGATAGAGGTTGACCGTGTTGTTGTACGTGAATATGTAGGGAGTATCAGGTGTTGGGCACCTAAATCTCTCCATTACATAGTTCATGGTTGTTTCGGATTTTTGACCCAGTGGCTCCAACATGTTGTTCCACAGAAGATTGGCAGCTACAGAAACAGAGAAAGTATGCATTGTAAAGCGAAATGATGTAGATCGAAACAATAATAGAGCAATGCTGAGAATAAGATGATTTAATTTGAAGAGCTCATGTAATCGGTTGAATGAGATGTCGACGGTGAAACTACTAAATCACGTTTCTCGTTTGCGGTGCTTGATCTCCGCTTCCATTTTACTATCATGTGAAAATGTAATTAACGGCGAATTTAGAGAGGGCTCTTGTTGATGTTTTGCGCAAAACTTTTAGCCGAACTAAAATAATTTGAAATCAATTTGAATAAGTTAAAGATTATTTTGCTCTCTTTCTCCCCTCCTTCTTCACTCCTCACCCTTTGAATGACCAAAATTATGATGACAACTAACAGCAAGCCTCCTGGTTGCTAGATGACGACAATTTTCAATTTTTCCAAAAACGACCCTTTGAACGAATATCACAGGGTAGCGTTTCAGGTTAGTTAAATACCTCAGGAAGCAATCAGGAATTTTCTTCACCACCGCTGTTCATCTGCTGATTCATTGCATCAAATTGAAATGTCTTCGCTTAGCGATGATAAAATTTGAAACGTTGCACAAATAATGCACAGAAATATAATTTTAAAATTCTACTTACCTAGTGCGTGACCCTTTTGACTGAAATGGAAGCAGTCGTACGTAACGTATGAGATATCGATGACCTCCTTCAGTCTTGTTTTCCTATCTGATTTGAGTGGCGCGTTGAAGAGTTTGATAAAAGGTTGAATGACAACCGTAAAGTCTTCTTTCTTATTATATCGGCCACTTTTCACCTGAAATCCAAATTTAAAGTATCACCAGAAAGTAGTGGAAAGATTCCAGAGCAAGAGACACATATTGAACTCATTTGACACCTTTGAATAGGAAAGAGTGTTTCACAGACATACTGGTGTAGAGTACAGCGAAAATGTTGAATCAATCTGTGCTATGGTGTTTTAAAGTATTTGCAGAACAAAAGTTTATTTTTCAAAAAAAAAAAAAAATTGGAAATTTTGGTATGTCAGACCTAGAGTCCAAAAGGGGTTTCTACACAAGGTATGAATCACGGCATTGCGCGACATTTACACTTATAAATGCAGAGAAAATGAATTTCACAACGGTAAGCCTGGAAATGAATTCCTGGAAAAGCTGCAAATGTTTACGATTAACATTGGTTAAATGGCGAAAACGGTTTCAGGACATTTTGTCAACGATTTTTTGTTCGCGTACCTTTTTTGTCCAGTAGTTTACGCCCACACGTAAAACAAGCAACAGTGACTTGGTCCAAGCGTTATATTTTAGTCGGTATGTAAAATTATATTGACAATATGGAAATGAGAAATTGAGAGAGAAGGAGGTGTTGTTATGGTTGCTCATTTTCTAAATGGAATGTTATTACTTTCTCCTTTTGAATCATCTTTTTAAATTGTCATTGGTGAAAATTTGGTTTTATTTCTATCCTTAAAATATTGAATGTACAATATACCTTATCTACGTATACGTACTTTTTTTATTTTTTCTTTACGAAATTATTACTTCATTTTGAAAACATTTATATTTTTAAAACGAGACAAATATTTGTAAAACCTTTTTCAAGCGACATTAATCTCAATGAGCCGCAGTTGTGCCGACAGAAACTGTAAAAATGAATAAAAGAGGGAAAAAAAACCAAGAAGCACGCAATCTTTAGTTTTAACCCATTTGAACATCGATCTTTTAGAGTCAAATACGTCAAATTTTGAGCGTTTCGTTTCGCGTACACCTCGCTGCAGCACAATAAAAGCACAAAATGTAATAGAAAAAATTAAAGTGCTTTGATAATCATTAAATTTGACACGGAACCACCAATATTTAAAAACACACATTATATTATTATTCTCCTTTGATCAATTGATACATATTTTTCCCCCATCAATTTAAATGAGAATAATCAATGCAGAGTGTGCTAACATTTCAAAATCATGAATTAAAAAACGCTGATTATGCGAGTATAAATATTAGCGCGGCGTGCTGCCAGCGCGAGAGGCTCATTGGCGGATTTGGCGCCTACAAACCTAAGTGGATACTTCACGCATTGCACAATGCTTGTAGTATCCACTTAGGTTTGTAGGCGCCAATGCGCGTTACGCGCTGGCCGCCCGTCCGCCGTGCGGCGGCGCCTGAAGCAATTATTTCACAACAGAGGTGTTGCACAGTATTTTACGAAATTGAACGTATTAAGAATGACAGGCATTCTTTAAAAGTACAGATCTTTCCTCGCAAAATAAATCAAGATACTTATTGTACACAGGAAAAATCTAAGAGCCTTTAGCTGATGCAAATATAGAGGTTTATCCGGTTCAGGTATAACAAGGTGGGAATTTCTTGAAAGATAATTAAGTCCTGTTACACCAAAGAGGTGTAGAGAGTTTTAGTGAATTTTGTCTCATGGAATTGACACTCTCCCATTTTTACCAAAACTCTCAACTACATATTATTCTCCGTTGGACCAAACAGACAAAACAAAAAAACAAGCAAACCCTCATTTTTCCAAGACATTATATATTTTCATCCAAAAACGTCGTGAGCAATTGTCGTTTTTATTTACATGTGGGCCAATTAACTTTGGGTCCCAACTGGTACATGCACCAAAACTCCCGTGCCGAAAAAACGCGTGGACGTACATTACTGGAAAAAACAGGTGCGCGGACAAAAAATCGTTGACGAAATGGCCTATAACCGCGAAAACACACAAAAACGTAATTTGTAAAATTTGCTGTCTGATTAATCTGCGGCAAAAATTCAAAAAATATCTTGTTCAGGAGTTTATTTCCGAACTTCTTGTTGTTCGAATCATTTTCTTTATAAAATGTTGAAAAGATTGCACATTTGTTTCTAATTGAAACCTTTGGCCTACGTGTATCACTTCCCCTGTGAACAAGTACTTGTACTCTCGGTTATCGTAACTTTTAACAAGGAACTTTGTGTTCATCGTGTCAGAGCTGAAAATACAACCCACGACGATTGAATTGAGTCCCCGTGAACACCGAATCGCGAGGAAATGTTTACAGGCCGGGTTCAAGCAAGTGTGTTTTCACTCAAGAAGTTTTACTCAACTTACACTCGAACTCGGCAATTAGCAGAGAAACATTTGTTGACTTGAGCCTTTGAAAGAAACGAGTCCTCCTGCCGTGACATTAAGTTTAAGGCCTTTCAATAACCCTTCCCCTGGCGTCCCTGTCCCTGGCCTTACTCCGCGCAGAGAGCAAAGAACTCACACGGTATGAGTCAGACGGACTTGCATCAAAGGGATCCCGCCTGATCCTGCGTTCACATTTCTCAGCATTCAGATTCCACTGAAAGTTCATCACTGGATATATGTTGCTGTGAGCTGATCAATATATCCGCCGTGCTAAGGAAAAATGCCGTACGAGTATTCCAAAGTTGCCAAGTTATCTCTCAAAAAAATATTTATTTTCTGAGATGTACATTTCTAAATAATTGCAGTATTTTTCTGAGGAATCAACCGGTGGTTTCTTAAGCATGATTTTTTACCATTAGAGCGAAAAACTCATTTGAGGAGGAAAAAAAGGAATAATATTAGTTGAATCAGTTGACATAGTTATAGTTTACATTTTTATTACATTAATTATAGCAACTACTATTTACTCTCAGAAAATAGTATTAATTATTAGTTTCAACATTTTTTAGTTATTTCGATTTAATTATTTCTGTTATCTAATACATTTATTTTTTGTGACCTAAGTCACGCGAATGTTGAGCAAAAAGGGAGGGATGGGGGTCCAAAATGGCGTCTAAATATGCGTTGCGTAATTTATGAGCGCTCCATTCCACCAAAAAATTGCAACTTCCTCGGCCAAGAAGGAAGGGAGAATAAGCTCATAATTTTTCAAGTAACTGTTTTGCGTCAAGTCAACGCCGCAAAATAAGAAATAAAGGTAAAATATTTACTCACTAAAGTCTCCTCAGCTCGCTGATAATCTCTCACTAATTGAGTGATGACTGCCATCTCATCGATGTTTCCACTTTGATGGAAGCAGGTACAGAAAAATCTATGTAAGAGCCGGCAAACTAGAGATCGTTTGACTCTCATACTTACAGACACATCTGAAACAAATCCAAATAAAATTTAAAATGCTAAAACTCGAAACAAGGAGTTGTTGGTAGCTACATTATATTAGATCATGCCAGAAATTAGGGTCTCAGGATTTCAAAACAAGCCCCTTCAGATACTTGAAACGCAAATGTGACTAAATCGGTGTGTCGTGCGCCTCACAGGCGTAACTTCCGCTCGTTGGGCTTTCCAGTGGAGTTAACTTCTTCCGCCTGCAACTAACGCTGTGCGGTTTGCGGTATGATAAAATCTCACTGGTCGCTCAGTCAAATATTCGATTTGGTATGGAATTATGTGACCTATAGAATGTATTCGATACATCAAACGGATATGAGATTGCATTGATTTAGAATTATAGATTGGTTCAAAACATAAACATAGCCTCAAAAGTCAATTGAGTAATCTGACAGAGCGGGTTTTTTGTGATAGATTTTTGATTCGTATGAGTACTAATTGACGATGAGTAGTAAAATTTCTACGAAATTTCTCATTTTCAGCTTTTCTGACAAATTCCTAACATTTTGGTTTGAGGTTATATTCTATTGTTTTGAACCAAACGATACATCAAACCACTATCGAATACGGTTAATTGGATTACATTTTGCAAAAAGGAACCACTAGCATTTCAATGTTGCTAAGATTGTGCAACTTCTTTTGTCTTGGAGGAAAAAACCTGATTATCCCTTAATAGTTTCTATTCTACTCGCTAAAAACTGTAAATTTAAGACAAAAATTACCATCTAAATTTCATAGTTTTTCACAATTTCCGCAATTTTACTGCAAAGAATGAAGTTGCACAATCTTAGCATCATTGCAATGCTAGTGGTTTCTTTTTGCAAAATGCAATCCAATTGATCCCTTTTTTAGAGCATAAAATGTCCTAACATTTACTTAAATCCGCGTCTGTGGTTCTTAACACTAGGTACCTTTTCTTGTCGTCTTTATTTTGATGATTACCCCTTCCAGTCAGCTACACATTTCCTATGAAAAGAAAATTGCTACAGCAAAAAGATGCACACTGCTAATAGCGACGTTGCAAATATCCGCTTAGTATTCATTACAATTCATTATTTATTATTTATAAAGAAAGAAAACCAACCATTTGTTAATCTTGACATTTTCTGTACATTTTCTTCACGCATTCAAGAGGAAAAAAAAAAATCTCAAAAAACTATAACGGGTTGTTTTGGTTAGTATTCTTTAACAAAACAAAACATAGTTGGACATTCTTGAATGTTGCAGTAAAAATTAATTACTTTTGTCATCGGCGTTAATATATACTTTGTTATATGTACTTTTGTTATCGGCGGGTATATTATATGTGCGCTCACCTAATACAGGTACAAGATTGACTAAAGTGCGAGGTAGATTCGCTTGTAAATAATCTAAAGCTATTTGGAGCTTCTTCTTGTGCTGTAGAGCAGAAGTTCCCTCTTTGTCATAACACTGACCGGAGCATAAATCATTTGCTCCAAAAAACAGCGTGATCAGCTGAAAAAAAAACAACACACACACACACACAAATAAGTAAATAGAGACACTAATTTATGGGAGTGCGCTGTGCTGTAAAAAGTGTGGGCACTAAGAATGTAAACGCAAATCCTAAAAAGTGACAATTGGACCGCTTTTGCAACAAGGAACTAATGTGGTATATATGATGGCTTTAACTATGAATTGCTGAATATTCGACTTCGGCTCTTTCTCCAGTCTGACGGGTGAAATTAGAATAGGAGTACTGTGAGAAAAACAATTACGACATCGGAACAGCTTGAATTATTTTATTCGCCTGTTGAGTGGGTACATGGGAGGATGCATACCCTGTAAGGTTAAACGTACGATTTTTAATTTTTTTCATGAACGTTCCTCGTTCTTTAACTGTCCCTGCGATTGGAGTTAAAGTTGATTCTAATCCTGGTCGGCTAAAATACATATATCGACGGCGTAAGTCCGCAATCACATATCTCGTTTGCGGGGTCTGAAAATCTCCGCCTCGATGTTATTTTTTTAACAGAGAACAAATCGACATCATTCCTTGAAATTTTTGCAGAATTTTCTTAGCACAGAGAAGAAAAATTACGGCAGTTTTAAAGAACTGCCGTTGAGTAGTTTTCCGTTTAAAAAATAAAGTATGACAGGAAGTCTGCGACGTCGCAAACCAAGTTATGCCGACTTACATCGTCAATATACGTTTCACGCAGACCGGCGACCGCACTGTGTTCGGCGCAGTGCGTGAAGTATTCATGCAGTCTTGTAGGCGCTAGCATGAGTTATGTGATTGCCGACTTACACCGTCGATATTCTCTTTTCATGTGTTATAAGTTCCTATTTCTCTTAAAGATTCCGCTTTCAGATGTGTGATGCACTGTTGTTAAACAATGCAATAATAGTTAGTATCCTTCACGCAAATGGAAGTTTTAAAGACTCTCTAAAAAGCCAGTAAAAGTTGTCATGCGCATGACGTCGACACGTAAAGTTTATTTTAATAAGGTCTTCAAAAGTGTTTTTATTATAATTAGTCCGTTTCTGAAAATGCTTAATTTCGAGTGGAATGTATTAAATTAAACTTGCTTCAAAGAAAAGTTAGAGACTAGTTAAATAGCTTCTCGTGGTAGCCCTCAAGTTTTAATGGATACCTATAACCGGAACGGTAGAACTAATTTAAACTGCATGATGCAACTAATGCTACAGTCCAACTCAGATCGCTAGGAAGCGCACACTTTACGGTTGACTCTTTCTTACTGCTCACCTTGCCTTACGAAAATATGCTTTATGCGAACATAAGCTAAAAAGCATTTCTCAATAAATTGACACTCAACTAGAGGATCAGTCATAAAATAATTGCCCCTTAAATCTCTCTAGAGCCAAGACTTTTTGTTCTTCATTCTTTGTTCTATCTCCCTTCGTGGATGTATTTTCTTTCAAAAAAACAAAAAAATTGTAGGATAGGAGGACAGCATCGGCCCTCTAACATTGCTTTTTAGAAGAAAAGAAGGAAACGGAAAACAACAAAGCACAAACTTTGTGTATTTTTAAGTTACAGATGAATGCAAACTTAAAATAATTGCACATCTGCTTTCATGGCAAGCATTGAGACATTGTTTTTTCTTCTTAAGTTTGCGCGTATTTTAAAAATGCATTGAATATTTCATATCGTGAGGAACATAATCGATACTTCATAATTGCAGATATGCAACAACAAAGATACATTTGAAAAATCAGCTCTGCGCTAGGTTTTAAACTAAACAAAATTCACATGTAAATTGATGGCTTTCAATGAAAGAGAGAGGTTAAATTGGATGTATTTCTGTCAAACGAAACTATGTGTATTAAGACATGAGCCCTGAGACCCATAAAAATATATGCATAACAGGGCTCACGTCATAATGCACATAGTTCCGTTTGGCAGAAATACGTCCAATTAGCTGTACCTTTACTCAATTAAAGGGTGCAATGGCACTTGTTGAATAGCAGCCTCGATTTAACTAGAACGCAAATAAGCTACCTCCACGATTAATGACGATAATATTTCCCTGTTGATTAACGTAATAAAAGTTAATTGAGTTAAAGAGACTTATTACTGTATACATTTTTGCGCACGTATCAAAAATCAAATCACGCCGGGAACTATGGAGTCCTTTTCACTATACTAACATCGCGAGTCTTTGATAGTTGATTTCGACTTATTACTATTACTATTGTGCTACTATTCGTATTACTGTTCTTAACTCTTCCAATATCATTCATGTTTCAAACAGGCTTCATATTTCATTATTTTCATACGTCCGTCGGAGTAAAAACCACAGCGCTAGCCTAGAGCAGAGGTAATGCACCGACTGCGAACAGAGCGGCCGTTCTAAGGATAAACGCCGTATGAACCTTTAGGCGCTGCCAAATTTCCTTGGATAAAACACGACTTTCCCGGACAACGTGTGAATATTTTTCTTTCAATTTTATAAATAATTTTGTTCACAATTTCACCCGAGGTTTCTCAGAATTTCAGGGGAAAATATTCATGAATCTCCCTAAAAATAAACATTTTAGTGAGGGAAATTTGGCAACTCTCGAGTGCTCATACGACGTTCTTCTTTAGCACGGCGGAGAGGGAGTTAGAATTATTAATGCGAGGCAGGCTCATTTGCCAGATTGTGCAAGAAAATATGGACACTTTACATAGGTTTGAATGTAGAAAATGCGGATTTTTCAGCACCATCCGGCAACTATGGAGGCAGGTCCAGGACCGGCGCGGTCGTTCAAAATCACATCTCATCTGAGCGGGCACAAATACTTGGGACAGCTCTCCCGAAACGCAAACAAATGCTAATAATTTGCATGTAAACTACCAACTGCAATCCACAAAGAGTAGTCAAATTTTATTCGAGGATCCGCCAAACCTTTGTCGATGTTTGTTAGCGTCGGACGCTGTGTTTTTTCCGCGAAAAATTCGGCAACCACGATTTTATGTCGATTAATCTTCCTAGTGTGTACCGAAGATATTTACATCATCCACTGTTTGTGTTGTGTATCGAATACGCACGAGCCTGTTGTGGAGGTTTTTTGAGGGTGACGTTGCATTATATCACTCCTGGTATCTGATCCTGTGGTCCTGAAATGTGGAGTAATAAGTGCTTACCCTATGCGTATTGATTTCCGGAGGGGTTAGGAACGGCTTTGATCCGAGGAAAGACGCGACGCTAAAATCGGAATTTACTCTCTCTCTTCCTCGGGACGCACCCGTAACACATCGCCACCTTCCGACCAAAATATCACAAGTACCATGCGACGCGACGTTTGGCAATTTCCGCCACCATTTTATTCATTTACGGAGAAATTGTTCAACGAAGCTGTCCAAAAATGACACTTAATTTTCTTTGTGCTGTCGATAAAATTCTGTGAAATTTTCAAACAGATTCAACCAAAAATTCCTCTGTAAAAAAATACAACGGCGGCGAAAGTTTTGGAACGTCGCATGGCGCTTGTGATACTTTGGCCAGAAGGTGACGACATATTTCTACATCCCTTATACAAATTACTGATATTACGCTTTATCTTTTTATCTTTCATCCTAAAATTGACGTATTGTGATGTATTTTGGATGAAAAATTGCCACCTTGCATTGATTTTTTGGCGCTAGCCCATATAAAACTGGGGTGTCTGGAGGGATTCTACCGAAATTTTTTTGAAATCTTGACTCTAATCGGACGTATGTTGAAACTTCCTTGACGCAAAAAAATCTTCATTAATTTTTGCATGTAAATTACGCTGTTTTAAGTACCTATTTTCAGTTCGAAATACTTTCGCATTATTACAGAGCTATTTTACGACGAAGAGTTATAGTTGACGAAGATTATGCTCCACCAAACAGAATCACTGGGAAGGGGGCAGGTGATAGTATTTCAATTTTAGGGGGGACAGCCCCTCCAGCCCCCCCCCCCACAGCTACGCCCATGCTGTCAAAGGGAAGGCATTTTTTCATTTCCTCTATGAGTGTTAACTGAAGTGTGAATACCTATGTCTGACGAGAGAGATATCTTATAGTCGAGGAAATAATCCTTTAAGCTTAACTCAATTTTTATTTGGGGGGGGGGCACGAGGAGGAGAAGGAAGGGGAGAGACAAAGGGAGAGAGAGAAAAATCTTAGTCTTATTAGTTTAAAAATAAGTCCGCCGGCAAACAAATGACTTCCTGAGAGCGAATGCAGTTACATTTGATACTTTTACTCGTAACTTTTCAGTGATGTCCGTTGAGCGAACAGCAATCACATTGTTTCCAGAACCGAAACGATTAGTTTCGCTTTCCAGGAAAAGCTGCAGTTGGAAAGTTCTCGACGCCACGAATGAATTTATATTTCTCCCCCTTTGTCCTCTCGTTTTATCATCGACAGGGCTCATGCGTGTGCATGTTTATTGAGTTCAGTTGAGTAAATAACAGGAATTTTCGCAAGCTTTTTTGTCCTGAAATCTGTATCATTTTGAAAATATTTAAAAGGCCGTGCAGCAACTTCCGATGCGTTGTTATGATTGATGGTAAAATATGATACAATTTCTGACCCCATGAAAACTGTGTAATCTCTTGGCGCGGCGCACAGTGCGGCAGCCTTATGGACGATGCGGACAAAAATTGGTAAGAGACACTTAACTTCAAAAAATGAATATAGTAGCACCTACAGAGAAAAACCCTTTGGTACTATCAAAGTTAAACATTCGAGGAATAAGAAAAAGTTATACCTCAAGATTTTTTGCGCATTTTTCGAGCAAAAGTTTATTTGAAGTTGGCAACCTCGAATCAGCCCTATGTTAACAATGTAAAAGCAACGTGAAACACCCAAACTTTAACTTCAAATATCTCTGATAGTTGCAAAATCTTTTTGGTGGAATTGAAGTTGGATATCTTATGATTAAGTAAATGTCAACCACCCAGAGCATTTTGCGTTCCAAGCGAGAAATCTTCATTTAAAGTTGGCGTCTTCCTCCTGTGTATTTCCAATGGACTAAAGATGCTCGACCCATTTTCCGCCCACTTTCTACCCAAATTTGTAGTAATTTTGATCGAAAAATTTGAAAATGAGCCATCATTGTGAGTCAGTAACAACTTTAAGATGACAATCTCCAAAAAAAAATATTCAGATGTCGAGTTGTGAATTTTTTATTTTTGTCCACTGAGGTCCGCACTGTGCGGCGTGGAATTTGTTTGAGTAATGCTCAGTTTTGGTTGCGGGGTGAGACAACAAATCAGTAGTGCTGTGAAAAAAAGAGAAAGAGAAAAAAAATCACCTTCCAGTCATTGTCGAAATCGACGGTGGGGTCTGTTTTCATTTTTTTGACTAATAGCTGGGCTTGGCGCAAAGCGTCGGCGTCAGCTGAAACCGGGAAAGCGACGTTCATGTGTGAGTTTGGTGCCAGCCACTCGCCCTTGCCCACGGAGTAGCCTCGCACATCCGGGTTGAACTCCTTCAAAATATTCGGCAATGTCATGAATTGTCTCCACGTCCCCTCGCCACCTGAAAACCAGGGCCAAAGTCTCTTGGAGTTTATCGGGAAGAAGCCAATTTTTCTGGATCACATATAAAAGCACGTAATATGTGTAAAAAGAGATCAATTCGTCTCTGAAATAAAGACTTGCTGAACGCCTCCTATTAAAATTGAATCAGTGAAAACGAAAACACATCAACTCGAAAAAATGAACATACACACAATACTCTGCCGCGGTAAGGATAAACGCCGTATGAACCTTTGGGCGTTTCCAAATTTCCTTGGATAAAACACGACTTTCCTGGACAACTTATGAATATTTTCCTTTCAATTTTCTAAATAATTTTGTTTGCAATTTCACCCGAAGTTCCTGAGAATTCCAGGGAAAAATATTCATTCAGCTTCACCATCGAACTTTTCTTCTTTTCCCTCAGCTCTGCAGCCAATGGATGCGCCAAAAGAGGCACAATTCATTACAACGCCTGGATGCAACTATTCGTGCTCCTTGGATGTGCGTGTTGCATGAGACAAATTGAAGGCGCCTTGCATGGTTTTTTTTCTTGCTTGCAACAAAATGCGTGCAGGGGGCATGTTGCGCTGCGCGCCACGCCGACGCTTAACCAATATCAAATCGCAGATCTCTAATAATACGGTAAATTTTTCGATTTGAAAATTTTCCCTCGTTTTGTTTTGTTTTTGTGAAAGTATTGCTCGACTATTTAGCGCCAACATTTTAGAAAACATCGTCAAAAATGAAGAAAAACAAACGATTTGTTAAGATGACCTTCATTGGATGGCGAAATGTGATAGGAGCTTTGTGTCATCGCAAATCGAGGTACGTGGTTTTGTAATTTCACCCTCACCATTGAATTGTTCTCCGTTTCCTGTAGTTTTGCAGGCGATGAGTGCATATTCAAAACACCGAATGCGCGCAATGCGCATGTTGCAAAAAAAAAAGGCACTTCAAAGCAATGCGAACAAAGGTAAAACATCTTCAGAAGTTTATTCTATCCCGCCTGGCTGTCTCTCCTCGTCCCTATTATTGCTGTAAAGGTTACTGACATCCTCAATAATTGTTGATTTGCAGGCATGCAACTTATAAAAAATATCGTTATAAAATTCGAGGAATCGCGCAGTATTTGGGCCTCACTTGGAAAAATAGATTTAAGCTGTTTTCGCTGAAGCCGATTCGCGCTCGTTATATACAGGGTGACGATAAATAAATCGGTTGAATATTTTGAGTAGACTCATATTATGGCCTGTGCTTTTGAATGCAGAACAAATGATAGCTGGGATCCTGGATGTTTTTGGGCATTATTTACCCGCGGGAAACGAACTTAAGTTGCGTACTTTGAGTTCCCATCCAAACGCGTATCTCTAAGAAAGCCAAGATGGCCTCCCTGACTATGCTTCCCGTTTTGGCCACGATTTCGATTGTGTTCTAGCCTCTGCCGCTATGTATGGACTGAACAGCCGTGCATTTTTAGGAGCTCCACGGACCACCGGTGGCGATTTTGCAAGTTAGCAACACTGGTTTTCCTCCGTTTGAATCCATCAAAAATATCGATTTTAAGTGTGGCAAGCTGGCTCATCAAGAATCGATTGTTTTACACGCATTAACTGGAGGAAAAGCAGTGTTGCCAACTTTCAAGAATCGCAACCGCGGACCAGAGATTGCGTCAGTGGCAACGCGCAATCGGAATCATCACCCCGGCGTGAGGAATATTTTCGGACGCCATCTTGGCTTTTTCGACGATGTTCATTTGAATCGCAGCTCAAAATACCCGACTTTGAATTTATTTATTTAGGGCTGACATTGTCCAAAAAATCTAAAAAAATTCCCATGAAATAAATATGCTCTCCACTTTTTAAAGATACAGCAATAAAAAAATTACTGAAAAAAGATCTGTGTCATATTTAAGGGATTTTTCGAAGTTTTGCCTCCACCACCACCCCGCCCTTGAGATTTGACTAAAAGAACGTCTCTGTTCTTTTGAAACATTTCTCCGGCTGAAATTGAAGTGATTAAGCGCTTAAAAAGGGTGATGCGATTGAGATGGGAAGAATACGACAACGGTGAGTCTGAATTTGACGTCGAGTTCATTTGCTCCGATTTTCTCGAGAGAAAGTATAATTGGACAAGCACGGGCAGAACAGAAATTTCAAACCCATCTCTCGCGCGAGCGGTTTGAATCTGATTTAGAGAGGATTATTCTTATTAGCGACTTTCCTTAAAACACTCAGAGGTGAAGTACACAAAATTGTACTCTACAGACCGACAGACAACTTCACCTGCTTGACTGTCCTCCTAATCCCCCTTTAGCCCTCGATGCGTATAAAAAGAAAAGCGTTTCTCGACTGGATTCTGTCTGCAATGAGAGTGCGTCAAAAAGGTTTAGGAAGTGAATTTTCTCAGCATTCCCTAAATCCTTAATTCATGAGGCACTTCGGTATAAAGTCAGAAATGTATGTATTTCCTGCTACTGTATTATAATAACCGCCGTAAGGATCTAAATACTTGAATTCAACGTGTTTGGTCTTTTTTACATTAAATAATGTATTAAAAACTTGGATTGGTGATATTCGATTTCTTGGAACTGCCATGGGCTTTTCTAAAGCCCTTACAAAATCGTTAAACTATATTTATTTTAATTATACAATATTTACTTTGATTTAAAGAACCTTTTTTTTTAGTGTGAGAACAATTTTCTTAAAAGGAATCTCTTTTAACTAAGAAAAAATATTAAATCGAAGGAAAAAAAATAAACTTTTTGAAAAGAAAATTTTAACCATTGCTATCTGTAAGACTATTCCGTATTAGCCATTTTCTCAGTTTATTTCTTGGAGAAAAAAATAGCTAAGCCCCTACTGAAATTTTTAGTATGAGAAATAGTGGGAAATTTACCCTCCAGATTTTCCAGGATGCATGTTTTTTTACAACGTAATCATGTTGATTCAACATAATTACGATGTAAAAAAATACATTCTTATGTTGATAGTTTCAAAAAAACTTGAACATGCATGGATGTGTCAACTCTCAGGAGCAATAAATCTCACAAGAATTCGTTTTTTTCGACCACCATGAAACTTAACATTAAAAAATGTTATGACCAGCAACGAACAGGTCTGACAATGAACTGAACTTGTCCATGCACGTCATAAATGCGGAGTGAGGTATTCGACCATAAACTTATGATACAGCCAAAGTCAATGCAGTGTTGCCGGGCGGGTACTAATTAATTAAGATTTTCACTTTCAGTTGAGGGTTTTTTTGTATGCAATTTGACAGTTGGTGTTTTGACGAGGAGTCGCGGAGCACGCCGCACAGTGGATCGAGTCAATTGGAGAGGTCGAGCATGAAAGTTTTGACTAAAATTGCAAATTTTGATGTTTATTTTGACACATTTTGAATTTTGAGGGGTGATCCTAGTAGGAAATTTCACGAGGAAACCGATGGAACCACTTCCAGAACCTCAAAGTTCTGTATAAACGGAGTTATAAGCGTTTCAAGTTTCCAAATTTTGTTCGAACTCGCCCATTGGCAGATCCACCGTGAGGCTAAAAGCAGACATGGACAAGCTCTAGTAGAGGAGTGGACGTTTCGAGGTTCCTCTGAACTCAAAACCAACAAAATTAAAGCTACTGAAAACGCGGGTCGCTGAAGGTAGTAGATGTCTAGTTTGATGTTTAATTCGTTACGTTTTAAATGTTAAGGGGTGCCTCCAGACAAGAAGTTCACGAGGAAACCAATAGAACCATTTTTAAAACATCGGAATTTTGTATAAACGGAGTTATAAGCTTACGAAGTTTCCAAATTTTGTCCGACCTCTCATATTGACTCGATCCACCGTGCGCCGCTGAAGTTGGCTTAGCTCTGTTGTAATAGTCCCCAATTATCAGCTCGGATGTAGGTAAGTCAGGCTCAGGGTGGCGTGCCGTGGCCGGCGTGACACTGCTGCATGACCGCATTCGTCAGGATTTGTGTCGTCAAAAAAAAAAAGAAAGAACACTGTCGCGCATTTTAATCGCGTGCAGTGAGTGGAATGAAGACTTTCGGTGGTCCAAGCGGCAGAAGAAGGCCAGTAGACCGAGAATGATGTAGGACATCACGATGTTAAAACATTTTATGCTGAATAATATGCACCGATCTAAAATGCTGGAAATCACGCCCATTATAGCCCAAATAAGGCAGGTTATGTGCATTTATACCAATTGGACGTATTTCTGCTGAACGGAACTAAGTGCATTATAAAACGCACGAGCTTTGAGACTTATAAGAATATATGCATATATTAAAAGGGCTCAGGCTCAGGAGATACTGCACATAGTTCCGTTTGGCAGAAATACGTCCAATAGAGAATTTGCAGGTGTCTGAAATTTGCTGAATTTCGTTTTTAAGTGGAAACTACTGAGTGAACTGAACATGAGGATACCCTTAGTTCATGAATTGAACAATTATTATAGAAGATATGACAAAATTATCTAATCTATGCTAAAATACATGTGTTTAAATAGGAAATGCCGCCAGATGACGTCACCAGGCGGCGCATTTTCTCACTTTTAAATCAATTTTTAGACCATTTCCCATTACAGGAAAAAATCGAAAAAAATAATACTGAATCAGTTGATACTCGTAGTATATCACGGAGGAAAACCTGGAGAAATATTTCCAAACATTCCCTCTATTATTCAAATTCATGTTCCTTTTTTGAATCGCTGATATTCAAAAATTGCGAACTGCGAGGCCACCTTCCAAACGGAATGGGAGCAATTATGCTGTTTTGGCGCAACGTGTTCGGATTATACTAAAACTGTGACTTGTGAGCCTGATTGCATTTCGCAAGTGTCATGTTGACGTTGAGATAATAATCTCGCTATCAACAGCGAGCATGCTGGTAAAATGGAAGCCGTCAGCTTCGTTGCCAACCTATGCCAAGCGCTTTTTAGGGCAGCATAGCCCATAGCCGTCATCAGAGACGTTTCAAGTTTGAATTATGTAAGTTTACTTATAAAACCTTAGATAAATTTGTATTATTTAGAAATTCAAGTCTGACAAGTGACAGAAGAACAGTGCGAGACTTCTGAGAAAACTTGCAAAACATGCGGATGCGATACGGAGATTTATATTTGAGACTGTTCAGCCCATGAAACAACATTTTGAAGTATCAGCTGGCAAAAAGGCAAAAGGACCCAAGGCCCTTTTACAATTGGACTTCATTTTGCAATTATGAACTACTATTCCCTGTAAACCTATCCGTATTCACACTTAATTATAATTCCCAATTGCAAAATCTGGTCCAACTTGTGTGAGGACTCCTGAGCTGCAGCCACCAGTCGAGTAAGCGATTAGCCATCGATGTATGGTCGAGAAATGTTTTTTCGCCAAAATGCAGGGATTCCGATTTATTTTCCAGAAATAAGAGGGGCTACAGCGCTGCAGCCCTTTTAAAAAGCACTTGACACTGACACCGAAACGTTTCGGCTAAAAACTTAGACTTCCTCAGTTGGTTAAATATAAAGAAAAATGGTAAAAATCTAAAATAGTACCTGGCAGTACTCTTCAAAGCGAGAATGTTGTCAAACATAATAAAACACTTTTCTACGTCTGGAAAACATTTCCCGGAAGAAAAAAAAAAATGGTTATTTTGAGCCACAAAATATGCTCTTGTTGTCTGAGGCTTTAAACTTTGCACGGAGAAAAAAAAAACTTCGTGCATGGGACCCGAGGTTGAGGTCATATGGATCTCTGTAGTTTTCTGATCACGCATCCGAAAACTTGAGGTCGAACTGCCGAAGCTCGGGTCAGACATCGAGGCACTTCGGTACGTACCGGAGTACTTCAGATATGTGACCCGAACCGTTCGGTATATATCGAAGTACTTCAGATGTCTGACCCGAACTTCGACAGCTACAACTCAAGTTTTTAGGGACGTGACCCGAAAACTTCAGAGATCCATATGACCTCAACTTCGAGCCCCACGCGTGAAGTTTTTTCTCCGTGTTGGACATAGAGTACATAGAGTCGTAATGTAAGTGGTGAGCTGGCGCCACTTTTAAGCATTTTCCAGGTCCCGAATTTCGAGACTCCTGTGTGACACCGGGTCACTTTTTCGATACATAATCGATTGTTTGCGATACACGGGTACCCGGCCATCCGATGTAAACAAAGAAGATAGGGATCACCACGTATTCCACACATGTATCGAAAAAGTGACCCGCACTCGGCGCACACCGGGCTCGGAACTCGTCGAGCAGAACATGGCGCCAGCTCTCCGATTTACATTACGACTCTATGTACTCTATGGTGTTGGATTCCTTTTGGATTGTTTTAGGGCTGCTTACCTGCGCACCAAGAGACGCCTCTATACTCGATGAGAGTGCCCAAAGCGTACTCCTCAAGGGCTCCATTTCCGGCGACGAGGCTGTCACCCATGGCTCCGACGACGTCGATGTCTCCCGGACGAAGCTTGTGGACGCTGGTCGGTCGCTCGACGGATCGCCCGACGCCGAGGGCGGTCGCGTTGGCGCAAGGGAACGGGAGCTCCTCCGAGAACAACGGCTGCTTCCTGATACCATCGTTCTGTCTGCCGGGATAAATGATGATTGGTCCGTCAGTCGTCTACGGGGTAGAAACCTTCTTTTCAGTCACAACACGTAAACGTCCCAACTCTACTTCTCACTCTTCACATTATCCACTATAAAGTTCATCATATTCGACGTCATGACCAGACAGCTTGTCTGGTATGGTCATGTCAATAGAATGACGGACGAAAGGCTGCCAAAGAAGTTGCTTGATTGGGTTCCTCCTGGGAGGAGACGAAGGGGACGCCCAGTGAAAGGATGGCGACAGGGGGTTCTAGAAGAAATGAGGGTTTGCCAACTCCCTGAGGGGCTTTGGGAGGACAGGGGACTTTGGCGCCTAGGGGTCGCAGAGCGCCAAAGAACGCTGTAAAAGCGGCACATACCTACATACAAGTTCATATCCAAGGCCAAAGTATACAGGGCCAAGAATATCTGTTTGCGACGGACACACCTAGGGGCCGTTCAAGTATTAGGTAAGGTACTTAGGAGGGGGGGGGCACTTAGTGAAAGGGTAGTGACAGGGGGTTTTAGAGGAAATGAGGGTTTGCTAGCTCCTTGAAGGGCTTTGGGAGGATAGGGGACTTAGACGACTAGCTGTCGCACTGAAAAAAAAATCTCGGTGTACTTACTAAGAAAAGGGTAAAATTACCAAGAATTCGGGGTTCTATTTGATCCCAGTTTCTTCTTGGTAAAATTACCATTTATGGAATCGGTAATTTTACCGAGAAATCTCGGTAAAATTATTGAACTTTCTCGGTAATTTTACTGGACCTTGGTAAAAACGCCAATATTTTTTATCGACTGTGGTAGAATTACCGAGATAAAATGGCAAAGTTACCGGGAATTGATTACCAATAAAAGTGGTATTCTTACCTGAAAAAACAGTAAAAATACAGGTTTTTATGTAAGCTTACCAGTCTGTCTTGGTAAAATTACCAATAATTGGTAAAAAAGGTGAGATGGTAAAGGTACCAACGGACCATGGTAAAAACGCCGAGAATTTTTTTTCAGTGTATCCAAGGCCAAAGTATACAAGGCCAAGAATATCCGTTTGCGACGGACACACTCAGGGGCCGTTCAAGTATTATGTAAGGTACTCAGGAGGGGGGGGGCACTTAGTGAAAGGATAGTGACAGGGGGCTTTAGAAGAAATGAGGGTTTGCCAGCTCCCTGGAGGGCTTTGGGAGGATTGCGGACTTTGACAGCTAGGTGTCGCAGAGCGCCAGAGAGCGCTATAAAAGTGGCTTTATACATACATCCATACTTAGGAGGGGGGTGTCCGAGCTTGCCCTACGGAGCCTTACGAAGGGGGGGGGAGAAGGGGGTTTCAAGCGGAGTCTTACATGAGCTTTCCGCTGTAAAGAAAAAAGCTACTTGTTTAAAAATTTGTTTAAAAATTTGTTCCCTTTTCAGGGAAATAAGTCCCCGGTTTTCTAAAAAAACACCCCTACAAATCCCCGAAAGTCCCCAATTTCGGTTGTTCATAACTGGAAAACACGGAGGGGGGTGTCCGAGCTTGCCCTAGGGAGCCTTACGAAGGGAGGGGGAGAAGGGGGTTTCAAGCCGAGTCTTACATGAGCTTTCCGCTGTAAAGAAAAAAGCTACTTGTTTAAAAATTTGTTCCCTTTTCAGGGAAATAAGTCCCCGATTTTCTAAAAAAAAACACCCCTACAAGTCCCCGAAAGTCCCCAATTTCGGTTTTTCATAACTGGAAAACACCCTGACAGTTGAATTTCAATATTTGCCTCTTTTCAGCAGAATATCAGCAGAATATTCTTCATAAATGTCAAGCAATGAAGTTGACTTGATTCGCTCTTTGAAAAAATAAATTAGGAGTGTAAATATTCACCAATTTCGGCCTCATTGCCGATTTTGGCCCGTGCGAGCCTATGGCACTTCACCTCTTGCAGAAATTTCATATTGTGCGCCCAAAGAAAACTCTTCGAGATCGTTCGCATCCTTCAAAGCTAAGAATAGAGCCGTGATAAGTCGCAAAAATGACTGCTAACGATCAATTATGAGATTAGAGTAAAAAATAGGTACCGTGCGGGAAACGTGTTCAGAGTTTACTCTCAGACTGATTTTAATCGTAAGAAAAAATCTATGTCACACTGTCACAGGTATAGACCACGGTGTCGGAATAGTGGGATCATGAAATCACATTCCGTCACTGCACCAAACGTATGCCGAGCTAAAGAATAACGCCGTATGAATAATCACATGCTGCGGACTTTTTATCACATAAAGCACTTGTTATCTGAAAAATGAGAGCCTTCTTTTCTTTTAATTTTTGAAAGCATTATGGCTGAAGATTTTAACAATTTCGAGGAACAGGGATTAATTCCCTCAGATTTAATTTTTCACCGTTGGAAATTTGACAGCATTCGAGGGCTCATATACGTCGTTTTTCCTTAGTATGGCAGTGCAACTAGATAAAGCGATTCTCACGTATTAATTGTGAGAGTAGCTATACGAATGGAGACAGATATCCATGGCTACAGTGCGAAACTACGTACCTCCATTGCGGCGTTTCAAAATTTTCGCTCTGATTTTATTTTTACTAGGAGAAAATTTCCAACTTTACAGCTGAAATTTACACAGAAGATTTTGCTAACAGAGCAAAAAAATCAAAGTTTTCATGAAATTTCTTTTGACTATTTTTCCGCGGAAAACAGTGAAGTATGATAGGGAGTCTGCAATGTCGCAAACGGACATACGTGGTTTTGCACTTGGACCATCGATATAATGCACCTAACTCTGAAGAGAATATGAATATCCATCGGTTTTATGCACGTAGAATGTGTGGACCGTTGTCAAAGAATATACATGAGCTCTTTAGAGTCTCGTATTTTCATCACGAAAGCTGCGACTCTTAACTCTATTGAGGATTCTACGGAAAGTGGAAACCGTATACCTATCGGCGCTCTTGAAACGCAGTAGGTATACTATCATTGTGCGGTCCTCCGTTATTATAACTCCTCGGCTCTTCATGTGAGCTCCCATCCAGATCATAGAGTACACAGAGCCGTAATGCAAGTGGGAGAGCTGGCGCCACTTTTAAGCATTTTCCAGGTCCCGAATTCCGAGATTCCTTTGCAGCGCCGGGTCCCTTTTTTGATACATAATCGATTGTTTGCGATACACGGGATGTATCGAAAAAGTGATCCCGCACACCGGGCTCGGAACTCGTCGAGCAGAACATGGCGCCAGCTCTCCCACTCACATTACGACTCTATGTACTCTATGATCCAGATCTGCCAGGAGGCCCTGAAGGGCCTTTAATCGGCACGGTCGAGGTACTTCATCCAGCACCGTCACAAAGTTTCTGAAGTGCAGATTTACAGAATTCAGGTTCAGACGAAAACAAAAACGCAGAGCCGTATATTGCCTAATCTTGTCTAGATATATAATCAAATTTCAAACGGACGAACTTACATTGATTTGTCGGTAACTTCTGATATTGTAAGCAGGGCTCCCGATCAACCGGTCGTACGTCATCACCTGAGCAAAAACTTCGTCCTCTGTAAGCCGGTGAACCAACAGTGCCATGGATAGCAACAGCAACCGCATCTTCCCATCGCTCCAGGCCCGTCGCATCACCCAAGATGACTTCATCCTCGCCATTTCTGGTGCCTCTTCATCCTTTCAAATTGCCGAAACATCACTACCCTAGAATAAAAACAAAAAAATAATGGTTCAAACGAGCTTTAAATCAAGTATGCTTGAGGTACCCACGTAAATCTCTGAGTGATGGTAATCGAGGTCCAGCAGGCTTATTGAATTATTGAAATTAATTGAAAAAGATGGAGACAGAGAAGACAGGAAGCAGGTTGATGCAACAGACAGAGAGGCAACTCCACGAGACCTCCCCCATTGTTAGTCCATCAGTTTCTCCCTTAGCCTATAGCAACCTGGTAAAAATTGGCGATAAGAGCTGCGTTTCAAAATACCATAGGAATTTTTATAGCCGGCTAAAGAAGGCTACAGAAGGCTACAGAAAATCATATGGCTGGCTGTAGAATGCGGAGAAAATCATACGGCCGGGCTATACTGCCGTGCTAAGGAAAAACGCCGTATGAACCTTCAGGCGTTGCCAAATTTCTTTCGGTAAATCACCAATTTTCGGGAAAATTTGTGAAGATTTTTTCTGCAATTTTTCCGATAATTTTGTTCTCAGATTCGCCGAAAGCTCCTGAAAATTTCAAGGAGAAATATTCATAACATTCTTCAAAATTAACTATTTTCTGAGAAGAAATTTGGCAACTCTCGAATGTTCATACGGCGCTCTTTCTTAGCACGGCAGTATACGAAGCAATAAAAAATTAAGCAGCCGGGCTATAGTTCCTATCGCCGGGCTTTACACTTTATCGCCTGGCATTTGTGTGCTTTGGAAATCATTAAGTTTGATTCGGAACCACCTTAATATTTACAAAACACACATTATATTTTCCTTTAATACACATTTTTTCTTTTCATCAATTAAAATGAGAACAATCCATTCAGGATGTGCAAACATTTCAAAATCATGAGTTGAATAACGCTGACTCCGCCATATTAAATATTAGAGCCTGACACAAAGCGGAGCGGCGACGCTTTGGCGCCTTCAAACCTAACAGGGATACTTCACGCATTGCGTAACGCGTGAAGTATCCGTGTTAGGTTTGTAGGCGCCAGTGCGCGTTTCGCGCTGGCTGTCCGCCTGCCGCGCCGCTGCGTGCCACGGCGCTTGAAGCAACTATTTCACACCAGAGATATTGCATAGTATCATACGAGACTGAAGGCACTCTAATATATTAGTAATGGCAGGCATCCATCAAAAGTACGGAGCATTCCTCGCAAAATAAATCAAGATACTACGGCCCAAGAAGAGAGCAGTATTCCAAAAACTCACTGAGTCCTAGCATCCGTAATTAGTAACGTTTAGCATACACTTTATCGCCAGGTCGTTGCTTAATCGCCATCGGCTATAAAAGGCTATAAGAAATTGTGTAGCCGGCTATAGAAGCTATTGGAAATCTTACAGCCGGCTATAGGTCTATGATATTTTGGAACACAGATTCTACTGCCAATTTTTACCAGGGTTGGCAGAAATACGTCCAAATATACTTAGGACGGGTCTCGACTGCACTTAAGTCCGGCTTAGCGCTTCTGATTGGCGTGAAGTATCCCTGTTAGGTTTGTAGGCGCCAGTGCGTCTCCGCTCCGCTTTGTGTCAGGCTCTAATATTTAATATGGCGGAGTCAGCGTTATTCAACTCATGATTTTGAAATGTTTGCACATCCTGTATGGATTGTTCTCATTTTAATTGATGAAAAAAAAATGTGTATGCCCGCCTGCCGCGCCACGCGCCGCAGCGTGCCACGGCGTTTGAAGCAACTATTTCACACCAGAGGTATTGCACAGTATCATACGAAACTGAAGGCGCTCTAATATATTAGGAATGACAGGCATCCATCAAAAGTACGGCGCTTTCCTCGCAAAATAAATCAAGATACTACGGCCCAAAAAGAGAGCAGTAGTCCAAAAACTCACTAAGTCCTAGTATCCGTAATTTAGTACCGTTTAGCATACACTTTATCGCCAGGCTGTTGCTTAATCGCCATCGGCTACAAAAGGCTATAAGAAATTGTATAGCCGGCTATAGGAGCTATTGGAAATCTTACAGCCGGCTGTAGGTCTATGGTATTTTGGAACACAGATTCTACTACCAATATTTACCAGGGCAGCCACCCGTTTCAAGCAACAGGCTCAATTTCCTTTTGTCTCCTATGTCTACTGTTTTATGTATCAATTTCAATAATTAGCCCGCTGTTGAGGAGAAACACCGCATGAACAACCCTGTGGCCTTAAAATTAAAGCCGTTTGCAACCTTAATCTTAAGCGGACACTTTTATGCTAAAAGGAACTATGTGTTAACTACAAGGAACTATGTGTCAACTACAAGGAACTATGTATGGGTAAATCAAACGGAACCATACGAAGCACGCAAATTCCATTTATAAAACGTAGCTCTCGCTGAAGCGGCTGAGGTGCGAGACCACTTTCCTCCGTTCACAACACTTCCGTTTGCAACGTACTTTCATACTTTATTTTTTCTGTGCAGGACTGTTTGACATAATTTCAGAAACTTGTTCGATTTTTCTTCCACAATAGCAGAATATTCAGCAAAAATTTCAAGCTATAAGTTTGGTTGTTTCTCCTCCGAAAAATAAGATAGGAGCTGACATTTTGAATGCCACACTGAAGATACGTGGTTTTGCAGTTCGGCCATCGAATTGAATCAGTGAGAACGAAAACACACCAACTCGGTGACTCCAAAATGCTCAACTTTCATCATAGACACTCAATTTTCATAAAGTTCATTGAAGTTAGCGCATCCATTCCAACTCGGATCTTTAAAGTGTCCTTAGGTACTTGTTTTTTGGCACCAAAAATATTTTTCATAAACTAACTTCTTCACCTACTGTGTAGTTTCGTGTGTGTCTTGATTAATTTCATTTTTCGAGTTGGTGTGTTTCCGTTCTCACTGATTCAATTGCAATGTTTCACGATTATTTCATGTTTCCGAATTATTTCAAACTGGATGGAGATACCGCGGAGATACTCCCGAAGTCACCCTGATGACGTTTCCAATTAAAAAACTAGGAGCAGCGGAAAGTTTGAAACGTTGCAAAGCGAGGTAGGTACAGCTTCCGAGTTCAGCAACGGATACGTTTCTCTCAACCTTGCAAGAACCGGCGGCTGAAATCGCACCCGTTTATCGGCAGGTCTTCGTCGGCATGAATGGACGAAAACGGCGGTAGAAAGTTTTATGAATGGATAGAGGGTGTGTTACGTCACCATCGCACGGATCACGTGGCCGGTAGTGGAGTCTGATTCTTACGAGGTTGGATCGAGATGCTCCGAAAAAGGTATGACCGTGCCACCGGCATAGCGCGACGGCGACGCGACGTCGCGACGGACGCAGCGAAAAAAGCTCGAGAACCAAGGGCCGAGGGCACTGTGCCATACCCCTCCGATGACCTGGTCATCGCGCGCCAGTGCACATTGAACGGGTTCTTTCAAAAGGAGCGTAACTGCCGAAGGAAGGATATCGATAGACGCTATTAGTACCACGTCACAGAAAAGCGAAATATATCGATTGATTCTCATTAGCAGCATTGAAAGGGATTTTAAGTCATTGTTACTGTTTGGATCCAATTTGATGAAATGGAGAATCCCCATGCTGACCGGCTGACGTCACCAATATTAGCGTCTATACGGGCCGTTTTGAGGCCCTTTTTATCTGACTTTCCTCAACTCTGCAATTTTTTGCCTATTGAAGGTCTTTATTTACCTATTTTTTACTTCAAAACTATAGTTTTCGACCGAAAAGAAAGATACCTAACTCTAGAAATCTGGTAAAATTTTGAGTTGTGAAAAAATCTACCTTGCTAATTTGTTAGAAGTGCTAACATCACATTGGTAAGCAATCGGGAAACCGTGGCACGCCTGATAGCATAATAACGTACTTTAACAAAGTCATTTGACGTAATATTTTTCAAATCTATCAAAACCGTTCAAAATTGTGTTGAGCATCCATATTCCAAAAAACATATTTAAATAACGCTATATTCATCACAATGTAGTACGAGGCTAAATTTTGACGTCTAATCAAGCATAAACATGTTGAAACAACCTGTTTTAACTCTTTTCATACTATTTGGCAATAATTGTTTAACGTCTTTCTCTGAGAATGACCTTGCTCTAGTAAACTACTCTTTTTAATAAAACCGATTTGCTCATAGTAAGCTTAAGAAGTCGCAATGTATTACGACCGACGGAAAAAAAATTAGCGTTCCTTGACTTCTTCTGATCAGAGCCACTCCATATTGAATTGAGATATATTGAACGTAAGTTCGGCATGAGGGTGATGTAATAAAAAAACCGCACTTCTCACAATATTTTCCTCCTTTTTAATGGCTTACATTCGCAGAGGTAAAATTCTTCTAATGTTCTTGAACTCTGTGATTACTGGTCAAGTTTGACTATGGTCGGAGGAAATGTACGATTTTACTCCGTACGAACATTAAATACTAATGCAAACATGGCAGGGTCGTAAGGATACATCCAATAATTATGGTCAGGTTATATATGATTCAGTCTGTAAGCTAAATTTGAAGCGCATTTCATGGCGATACTGGAAAGTTGGTGACGTAACGTCTCAAAATGAAATCAAAACCGCGAGCAAAATATTCGGACGTATTACGGGTACCATACCTCATACGTGGGTGCCGAGCGCATACATATGAGGATGAGCTACGAGTAATCGTGTCATGTCCACCTCCCACCTCCATTAAAACAATCTAAACCAACGTTGCCAATCAATCCCCCTACATACATCGAAAACAATTTCCTCGGTGAAATTTGTAAACTCATGTCTTGCCTCTCACCTACTCGTCAACGCACATTGATGATTTTGAAAATGTTGAAAGGTCTGGATACACGATCAAATTCCGAACCAATTCTGATCAAAGTAGACCAGTTGACGACTGATGGTCACCATGCAGCAGTCCTCTTTGATCAAAATTGGCCGTCAAATTTTGTTCAGAATGGACCACCATTGGACTACCATTCATCATTTCCTGCCGCACGAAACATTTCTGCCAAGTTTTCATTTTAAAATTAAG